CACACACACACACACACACACACACACACACACACACACACACACACTGGAATACTACTCAGCCATAAGAAGGAAAGGAATCTTGTCATTTGCAGTAACATGGTTGGATCTAGAGGGTATGATGCTAAGTGAAATAAGTCAGTCAGAGAAAGACAAATACCAAATGATTCCACTCACATGTGAAATTTAAGAAACAAAAGAGATGAACAAATAAAAAAAGAAACAAACAAAAACCACTCTTAGATGCAGGGTGATGGTCACCAGAGGGGAGGAGGATATGGAGACAGGTGACATAGATGATGGGGATCGAGGGTCCGCTTATCTCGATGAGCACTGAGTGATGTATAGAATTGTTGAACCCCTACATTGTACACTTGAAGCTAATATGAAAATGTATGTTAGTTACAATTGATTTTTTTAAAGAGGGTAAAATGGGTCAAAAGAAAAGAGAAAGAGCATCATAGGCCTACAATTATGGGAACACCTCCAACAGAAAACATGAGTTGTGAAAGAGAAGAAGCTAGAAATATAGACATTGGTTAGATCATGCAGGGTCTTAGGTCAAATCATAGAGGCTGCAATTCCATCCTAAGATCATCAAAAATCCATGAGAATTTCCGTATGAAATAATCATATGTCCATTAAAAAAAGAAAGCTTTCCGACTCCTGGGTGGAGAATGAATTGGTTGAGGGCAACAGGAGATTCAGAAAACAGGTTGGGAGAGCTTTGCACTCATCGTACTCACTAGTACTGGTGGCTGGCCCTAGGGTGATGGCGGTGAAGGGGGAGGGTCTGAGGAGGCTGGCCAGAGGGGGCCTGTTGGCAGATGGCAGGGTGGGGTCGCAGAGGGAAGGAAGCCTGTGACGGGCCATGAGCAGATGCTAACCGCTTGTTGACTGACATGGGGACACAGGAGGTTGGCCAGGCTTTACAGGCATAGATTATGACTTAGGTTTGCACACTCCACCCGCAAAGGGCCTTTGGATACCTGGAGAGGTGAGGGCAGCGGGAGTCTGTACTACCTGGCTTGTGGACGGAAAGCTGGTGGAGGAAATGGGATCATGGCAACAGAGAGAAGGATGCTGGAGAATCTTCCCTCTGCAGTCACGTTCATCTGTCTTGGATAATTATGGACTCATTTCCTTATTCCGTTATTTAAAACAGCGTTTCCTTCTTTCCACAGCAGGGTTCTGTCCAGTGCGGCTGGTTGTAGTAATTTGCTTGTGCCGTGATGAGGTTCACCCTCATCTTGAAGCACGTGCATGTCAACACAAGGGGATTTAAACTCGCTTACCATTTCCCATATTTAGTACATCCTCCCAGAATACTTTACACTTCTGATCCAGGAGCATTTTCCTTGTCCTCAGCCCCCTCCAGTATCCGCTCTTCTATCACGCTTGTCCCTGCCATCGATACCTCTCCGGCTGACTTTTTGTTTGTCACAACGCAAGTCAATACATTTTAAGGAATGCAAGCATCATGTCCTACACCTGTATTTTCCTCTTCACTCATGCTCAGTTGGAATCGTTTGCAGATCTCAGTGGGAACATTCTTCAGTTTGGATCCCCCAAGGACGGAAAAGAGAATGTGTAGTCAAAAGGAGCATTTTATCAGTATTTCGGATCGGTCCACCCAGGCTAACTGCTCCCCCAACCTCCTTAAGACTTGCTCTTTTGAGGTTTTTAAAATATTTTTTAAGTTTATTTATTTATTTTGAGAGAGAAAGAGAGAGAGAGAAAGAGAGAGGTGGGGAGGGACAGAGAAAGAGGGAGAGAGAGAGAATCCCAAGCAGGTTCTGCACTCTCAGCGCAGAGCCTGATGCGGGGCTCGAACTCACAAACCATGAGCTCATGACCTGAGCAAAAGCCAAGAGTCAGATGTTTAACCGACTGAGCCACCCAGATGCCCCTCATTTGAGTTTTTCCCTCTTTGTTCAAGTCAAAACAAAACAAACAAACAGACAAACAAAATGATTGTGTTGTTAAAAGAATGGCACTTGAAAAGCCAGTGCACCAGTGCCTGGTAGAACGTAAGAATTTGTGTGTTCGTACCCTGATATGTTAGAGAGACGTCACATCAGCTTGAGGAGGGCAGAGAGATGTGCAACTTTTTGCTGTACTCGCACGAGAGAAAGGCGCCAAAGGACAGAAGCATCAAAGCCCGTACTCAGATTCAGTAGGTTGCGATCAGACAGACCGCAGGGCTTTGTAAACCTGAATAGATAAACCCGTGTATTTTTTCTAGAGAAAAGTGAATGCATTTGTGATGTTAAAGTCCCCCACCTGTTTCTTTCAGGAACCACGGTCCCAGCTCTTCTGAACAGCACATCCAATCAGCTCTGTCTCCACTTCCAGTCTGACATTAGCGTGGCAGCCGCGGGCTTTCACCTGGAGTACAAAAGTAAGGTCCCCTCTTTCTGCATCCGGCTTCCGCTGTTATATCGAGTCATGTTCTGAAAGGAAAAACAAATCCGTGCCCTCATTACATAGTAAAATATCCTCGTCCCAAAACGACTCTCCAAGTTGCATGAAATTGGGTCATACAAAATCTGCCCCCACGAAATACATAGTATAAAGAGCAAACTAATGAGGACATGTCAATTAGTATCTGGAATCGTTGGATAAATGAAGTTCGTGTCTGGAAAAATTGTTCAGAAGCACAAAAAGTAACCGTGTGTGCTATTCCTGGTTTTCTTGGGAGTGGTGTTTATATTAGCGTCCAGAAACCCAGAAAGTTATCATTTCCAAGCCGATTATGGTCACAGGGCCTCCAAGGTGGGTGGTGCAGGGCTATCACAGAGGCTCGCTGCACGCTGCCCGCTTCGTGTATTACTCATTTTAATTGGAAGAAGGTGTCGCGAAGGAGACGCTAACCTTTTAAAAATGAATGTGAAAAGTGAGTTAATAGTCTGATAAATGGGTTGACAAAGGTCAGATTCACAAATCTTCTTTGGCGTTTGATGACGCAGGTAAACCTTGTAAAAACGAAGTAAGACTTTCCAGTGAGAGCCAGGTTTATTTTAGGACGTGTTTTCAAGCCCTAAAAATGCTTAATGTCGATATCCATCTCCTTTAATAAGTGGCTGCAAATAAGCAAATACATGGATGGCTTTAATAAGTGATCTTTTGAATGGAGATAAACAGTTCGCCGAGACGAAAATGCAAGCATGTTTTTGAAAGGCCAGATTTCCAGCTGATGATAAATATTCCGGACCAGACACAAACCACAGGGCTGTTTCCCGTTTCGGTTAAATTTCCCTACTTATTACAGGCATTTGTATGCAAGTTTATTCCAATTTATTTGAATAGGACTCCTTTGGTGACAGTGTAAAAGGATGCTGTGGGTGTTATTTACGTAGGAAATGTCTGGAAAAAATCTGCCAGTCTGATGCATTTCGTGAACATCTGTAGATAGGAAACTATCAACCTCATTTATGATAGCGCTAATAAATTCGCTAATACTTTCAGCAGTGTTAGAACTGATGAATGTTCCTATCTCTTTCTTCCAAACTTATCTTGTGGCTTCAGGCTTTTCACTTACTTCTCATAAAGAGAGGTGCTAGTGAAATGATTAGTCTGCAGTTACGAGGACGTACGATTACAGCTTCAACAATATAATCGTCTGCCTTTCACTCTATTTCCCGCCCATGCACTTCGTTAGAAGAGGAACACCAAGATATTTCTCACCGAAATGAATCTTATTTACAAATCCACAGCCTTGCTTAATTACTTAACGTGCTTATATTTTAAAATATTTTTTTTCAACGTTTTTATTTATTTTTGGGACAGAGAGAGACAGAGCATGAACGGGGGAGGGGCAGAGAGAGAGGGAGACACAGAATCGGAAACAGGCTCCAGGCTCCGAGCCATCAGCCCAGAGCCCGACGCGGGGCTCGAACTCACGGACTGCGAGATCGTGACCTGGCTGAAGCCGGACGCTTAACCGACTGCGCCACCCAGGCGCCCCTTAACGTGCTTATATTTTAATTGGCCAAACCTAATGCTACAGTCCTGTTTCTTAAGATCCGCTTGGAGTGGCTGTTTTTCGATGTCAGCACCATTCTGATACCACCTGTGTCGTTCGTGTGTTCCCTTACCCTCTGTGTATCTACAGGTGCTTGTTTCTCTGTTCTCATTCTACGTGCAGAGTTTAAAATGTGGGTTATAGAACGTGTTCGTAGAATTAACCTTAAGAAGGCCAACAGCAAACAGTATAGGGACCGTGGAAATAAACTGCCCGGAGATTGTCTGATACTTTTAATCTCTTGACCTATTTTTGCATCTACCTGAAAATAGGTACCGCCTGTCCACAAGCCTCTAAATCCAGATTTGTTCCTAAAATTGATATCCGTGAGATCATAGTAAAAACAACAAAAGCCCCCGCCCTGTGCCAGGTCTAAACATGTCACAGCTCCTTCCTGCTTTGTCCTCAGAAAGCCCTCTTTTTGAGGTACGCCCGGTTTTTACAGGAGAAAGGACACAAGGCAGTGTCTTCAGCCTGCACAGGCTCTGGTCACCCTGCTTGTGACCCACGGAATGCCCAGAGACCCTTCGTCACGCAGGCGCTTTACCAAAGGCAGAAGCAGCGCCTGCACCGTTTGCGTTTGACGAACAGTGACGCCGAGGGTCACGAGTAGTTGGGGGACACGCGGAAGGGAGGGAAGCCTGCAGGTCGGTGTCGGAGATGCGGCTTGTCTGGCACTGAAACCAGAGCTGTGATCGCTGATCCTCACCTGCTTCCCCGTGAGGACTTTCAGTTTCTCATCCAGAGGTGAGCGCCTGGCCCCGGTAGTGATGATGGGCCATCTTTCCGGATGAGCACTGATAGGATTTCCCCAACAGAAAACAAACATTTTCATCTGAGGGGATGAAGCGTAAAACGTTAATGACTGAGAAAGCAATTCTAGGAAGGTCTGATCAGACGCGGGCGGTCTGGGTTCTCTTGCGGGCTCCGAGCGGAAGCCCAAAAGATCGGCGCAGTTGAGCGCGCCACGTTCTGGAAGCCAGATGTCCTTCTTTTAATTTTTTAAGCAACTGTTTATTTATTTTGACAGAGGCAGAGATGGCGTGAATGGGGGAGGGGCTGAGAGAGAAGGACAGCCAACCCCAGGCAGGTTCCACACTGTCCCCACAGAGCCTGATGCGGGGCTTGAACCACGAACCGTGAGGTCAGGACCTGAACCAAAATCAAGAGCCAGACACTCAGCTGACTGAGCCACCCAGGCGCCCCCGTCCTTCTTGTATTTTATCTATCTGGGTAGGAAGCTTGACACGGCTACACAGAGGGACACGGTTGTCACCCTTGCTTTGGGCTCTTTTCTTCAGAAAAACTACCAGAACAGAACAAAACAAATAAGCAAATACCATGGAACCTTAAAGATGTATGTAGGCAATGATGATGCTGGGTTACCCTGGAAATTTCGAAATCTGAGCCGAGGGTGCGTGGCACGAACCTGCCGCTGGGGAACAGTCTGGGGGTAGCCATTCTAGAACTCGGCAGGAAAGAGCAGAGAAGGTTGGGTATATATGAACATAAGCGTGTCTGTTGACATACGTGATATGTGCCATATACAGCAATAGACCAGGGTGGGTTGACTTCACTGGAATTGGTGGGAGGAGAGCTAATAAGGTTGAAGCCATGCACCCTGTCAGAGTGTTTGTCTTTGTCTTATTTGAAATAAAGAAGGGCACACCCCACTGCGTCTGGGTCCCCGAGCTATTTGACCCCCTTCCGGACCTTTGGCAGTTTGCCAAGAGGATGGCCTGAGTGGTTCATTCTTTCCCATGCGTGTTTGTCCTGTATTTGTCACAGAGACAGCTTCATGTCCTGGATCTCCTGGAACAGGCTGTTCTTTGCACTTGCTGTCACCTGGGTACCTGCTACCTCGTCCCTTGGACGAGTTCAAGAGACGTTAGGACCTCGCAGTTTAGATTTTTCTCGTTGTTAAAGTGAAAATAGTGTTTTATTTTTCAGATTTCTATATCCTGTGTGGGAGTGGAAATCCTTTTGTGGGTTTCCCCTTGCCCAAAGATAAATATATAAATACCAAAGTTATTCTTTTAGGTTAACCAGGGACAAGCTTTTCTTGAATGCTCCTTTTTACGATTTTTTTTTTAAAGTGGGCTCCACACCCAGCATGGAGCTTGAACTCACGACCCTGAGATAAGAATTCCATGCTGTACTGGCTGAGCCAGCCAGGCACCCCTTGAAATGCTCATTGTGGAAAAAATGGTCTATCTATGTCTATCATCCATGTAACACGTACATAATTGTAACACAGTAATATAGGATTTTCATCATAACTGTGAAAATTTTACAAGTACTTACAGATAAATTATAGAATTACATTGGATAATATGTTTATATTACAGATACATTATTAGCAGAATAAGTCCATCCAGTCTAGAGCTATTCCCCATTTTGAAATTTTTGAATAGAAACTATTCTGATTTTTACATGTACCCGTGCTTATTTAATAATCATACGTTCCACGATTAAAACCTTCTCTTTTAAATTACACCATTATTCGGGTGCACCCGATACATAGTTCTGCCTCGCTAAGTTGGAAGATATTTAACCTCAGTTCTGCAGCAAACCTTACAACACCCCACTGAATACATCTGTCCTGAGTTAGCATGACGAAGCCATGAGTGAATTTTACCTCCAGCACAAGGCTGCTGCAATTATGCAAGCCCGTTTGGTGCTAATGCATGGCACTTGGTGAAAACAGCACCAAAATTGCGTACGTAGGAACTTTTTTATTTCAGCATTTTTATCATGAGTTTTTGTTTGATTGTTTGTTTCGTTTTATTTCCTGTCAACATTCACTACTGGGAAACCCAGTGGAGCTAGTATAATATTTCTGGAGTCTCTAAGATACAACATTTGGCCCCTGGAAGGCAAGTAAGAGAAGCTATGGTGCACTATAGACTTCACATATCTTATAATACATCACGGGAGCCATTCTTTAGTTTTCTTTCTTTCTTTTTTTTTTTTTTAAACATTTATTTATTTATTTTGAGAGAGAGCGACAGACAGAGAGGGCCAACAAGCAAAGAAGGGGCAGAGAGAGAGAGAAAAGAGAGAGATTCCCAGGCTCAACACAGAGCCCAACATGGGCCTGGAACTCACGAACAGTGAAATCATGAGCGAGCTGAAATCAAGAGTGGGACGCTTAACCGACTGAGCCACCCAGGTGCCCTGTGGTGCCCCCATTCTTGAAATAGTAGCCCAGCTATGAACACGGCCCGATGTGAAGGCCATTGTCCCATGTCTAGGGATCTGGCCACAGACAGAGAAGACTATGCTGGTGGATCAGAACCAGGAACATACAAGCTATGACAATGACAGCATCACATGAAAGGATAGGGGAGAATAAGACAAAAATATTGCAGTAATTG